ACCGGGCTGCCGCCGCGTCCGCTAGGGCCGCGAACGCGCCGCGACGTTGCGACTGCGCGAGGCCGGCGCCGCGCTCGCCGACCTGGCGCCGCGACGCCAAGTCAGCGCGACGATGCGCGGCGCCCCAGTATTGCGCCGCCACCAGACGCCGCGATCGATCTCGCAGCGCGGCGGCGACAGCCAAACGCGCGCACCAGGCTGACGCCTCATGCGCCGACCCGACGTCGCGACCGCGCCGCGACGCGACAGCGCTACGGCGCCCACAAGGACGACGCCAATTCCGACGGCTCGCGCGACGCTGCGGTAAGATAGTGGGTAGAAAGGCTGACGCCGCCTCTGCGGCTCTATCGCCGCGGCGGGGCGCCGAAACGCCGAGAACATTTTCGAGGGGAACAGCAAAACATACAACGCGCACTAAGTAATCATAGTTTTTTTCGCAGAAGAAATACCAACAAACAAGTTCACGATTATCAATTGACAAAAATTCTTAAAAGTAGATCTGACATTTTATCTTTATTTACCTTCTATTTAAAAATATTTCAACCCTCAGGGGAGTGGAGCCCACCGCCTTGAGCTTCTGGACGCGGCACCGGGCGCGCTCCGCAAACTCCGGCGGCAGGACAGCGTGGGGATCTGGGGGCCAGATCTGGGTCTTGGACATCTTCAGCTTCATCCCGTGGGCTTCGACGCGGGCTCGCCATGCATCCAAGCCGCGGAACACAGCGGCCGCGGTGCCCGCGAAGTACGCGTCGTCCAAAAACGCCAGGCAGCCCCCTTCAATGTCCACCGCGCGCACGGCCACGCGACCGATGCCGAGGACATCCGCGGTGCCGACCGCGCAAAAGCCTGGACTCATCGGGCAGCCCTGGTCAAGGCCGCGGATCTGGTCGACCAGCTGGGCGGGTTGGGACCCACCCCCCGCCGCATGGCGTGTGCGAGCAGGGAGCCAGGCCTCCGCCAGCGGCGCCAGGGCGGGCACCTTGGTGCGCACGGCCTCCTCCACGAGGTCGCGGGGGACGTTGCTGAACGCATCCCCGAGATCCACCGCCGCCGCCCACTTGCCTGGGCTCGAGTTGGCCATCGCGCATAGACGTCGATGGAGGGCGCCGCATCCGTCCTTGGCCAGGCCAAACTGTTGATCCCCCACCGCCGCCCGCATGTCTTCGTGGTGGACCTTGGCAGCGCTGCGGCCCACCATGCGGCGGGTGACATTCCCACAGCCCAGGACTCGCACGCCCCCAGGGGTTGCCTTGGGGATGCCTGCGAGGCGCGCCGCCATCAAGGCGGCGAGGGCATCGGGAGGAAGGTCGCCGATGGCCAGGCGCGCCAGCGTGTTGGCCACCGCCTCCGCCCCGTCCTCGTCGCACTTGAGCGGGGCCCAGTGCTCGTAGCGCCCCCCTCCAGGCCCCGCCCCGCCACGGCGGGGGAAGCGACCAAACTGACGCCTGAGGTGGTTGGCAACGCGGCGGTGGAGCTCTGCCGCGCCGTCGAGCTCGTGAGGGGGCGTGGCTGGCGGCATCGCCGCATCGGCCCCCGCCACTGTGGGCCCCCCCCCTGGCCCATGCGGGGCGGCCCCAGTGCCTGGGGGAGGGCCCCATTCGCCTGGGCGGGGCGCCGCAGGCTGCTGGTTGGTACTGGACTTCCCCACCGCCGCCGCTGCATCCGCCATGTCACCCTGGGGCCACGCTGCCGCTGCCGCCCGAGACATCTCGCCAGCTCGTGCCAGCTCAGTGACACGGCGAACGCATGCCGCGACGTGACCGCGGTGCGCGTCTGGTCCTCCATGGAGAGCCAGGCGACATCCCATTGGCCGTCCTGAATCCACTGCAAACGCTCCTGGAGACGCTCTCGCCGCGTCGCCGGAGTCGGGGTCGCATTTTCACTGAACAGCAACCCATCCAACGATAAGAACACCTTCCACAGCCGCGTCAGCGTGCGCGACGCCTGCTCATCGTTGCCCTGGCGGGCATGCTCGATCGCCAAGCGCAGCCGCACCTTCGCGTGGCTGCCGGCGGCAGCCATGCTGTCGGGGACCATGGCCGTGGTGGGCGCGCCCTGCAGCAGGATGCGGCCCCGCCCGATGGCGCCCCGCCAATCCAGATTGACGAAGCCGATCTCGTGGCACGCGTCCTCGTCCGTCACCTGATCGTCCAGGTAGTCGTCGTAGACGCCTGCTTCAAGTCACCCGTCATCATCCGCGTCCGCAGGGGCGTCGAGTGGCGGCTGAAAGATGTCCGCCGTGGACGGCGCCGCTGCCTCGGCTGCCACAAGGGGGCCCCCTCGCGAGCCTGGGCCACACGCCCCTGGCGCGGCGGCGGCAGGGAGCCTCGGGGCGGCCCCAGCGAGCGCTCCCTGCCGCGCCATCTCCCTGCGAGGGAGGAGTGGGCGCCTGGCCTCCAACCGTTTCCAGCAGGGGCAGTATGGGGCCACCTCGGGCCTCCAGGGCTGCCGCGAGGCGTTCCCTGTCACCCTCCGGGAGCTGCGTGAAACCCACCATCGC